GGGATCGAACCGGGGACCTTGAGGAAACACAGACAAGCTGGTTTTGCATTGAATCACTTCAATCTCACGCGCTCCCAATTGCGCCATCCCGACATTCTTGAATTGGCCAAGAACATGACTTACTTATCCCATTACTGCCTTTGTATTTACTCTTGAGACTGTATCCGCTACATTCGCTCCCTCCCCTGTCGTGCTTGCTTCCTCAAACCGCTTAGCCTCGCCTGTGATTCCTCTCTATTCCTGCCTGATTCAATAATAACCGTCCACCTTTTAAAGCTCAAAGTCCACAGGACGGTTGTGTATGCCGCCCTGCTAATGCGAGGCCTATCACCAACCGCCGGAACTGCTCATACTTTGGAGAACTCGTTCTCGTTGGTGTTTAGTGGGTACTGCGTAGTTGGTATCGCTCTGGCGAAAAGGGAGACAGGGCGGTTTGGGCGGCTTTATATCGGACGTACTTGCAGCATGATTTTTGATCGAGCACGCTCAGTTGCTACGCTTCGAAACACGCCAAGAACCCTGCTCTCCTCCTGCACTAGCCTAAAAGCAACTAAAATGCTACATCACACATCCTGGTGGACAAATCGTCTGTTGGACCACCCACCATCCTTGGCGGGAAATGCCTTTTAAGCCGGTCGTGCGTGGACTTTTGTGGAATTGAGGTAATCGCAGCGCTGGTGCGGCTGATACACCGCTGGCATGTGGAGTTCTCACTTTGAGGCTGACTGGACGGCGGAGCTTGCACAAACTCTGCCTGTGGTGGTGCAACTATGTGTGGATCCGGCAGTTGACGTGTCCATCATGCATAATGGTAGGAAAAAGAGAACGTACGGATCAAGACGACTGAGTCAGCACAGGTATATGTCAAGTGATAGTACAAAAACGGACAACAGAAGTTGAAACAGTGGGATACAAGGGCAAGCGAAAAAGCATCCGCGACCCTCCGCAAAGCGAGAGCCGTGGACCGAGAGAAGCGGGGGAGGAAAGGCAAAAGTTGATGGCGGGGAGCAACGCAAGTGGAGAGACGAAGCAGAGGAGAACCGTAGACCGGGAACCGGGAACCGGGCCAAGGGTCCAAGTGTGGAAATGTCGGCTTATATCATAGCCTAAGCGCCTCAATGTCGTCATCGACCCCTGTTGACAGCTCGGGGCTGGCGGCAAACACGTTGCCATCGACGCCACCGTTGCTGCTCTGGTAGCCCACCATTGACCCTCGTCGAGAGCCTACAAGTGCGCATCCGCTGCTGCTGGCGGCTGATGATGATACAGACCCGCTGCGGCTCAGAGACGAATGGGGAAGAAGCGTCGCGCTGACGGGTATGTTGTCCAGGTTGTGCACGCGCGCGTGCTGGTTGAGGTTGTCATGTCGGGAAAAGTTCTTGCCACAGCCGGGGAATGGGCAGGTGTAGGCTGTATGCAGAAGGAGATCATGTCAGCATTCCAATTGCTACCTCCTTACGCCACAGAAGATGTTGATTTACTCACGCTTATCGTCCGTATGGATACTGCGGACATGTCGCTTGAGGTGCTCACTGCGCTTGAAGCATTTGCCACAGCCGGGTACCTTGCACGTGTACACCTTGCCGCTTTTTCCGAGGTTGTTCATCTCGTCCGGATTGTTCGGTACGCGCCGGCCGCGCGAGCGCTTCGTGATAATACCCGTCACAGGATCGGTGAATTGCGATAGGCCTGAGGACGAGACGCTAGACGCGCTCGTGCCGCTGATACCCGAGTGCGCGCTGAGCGCAGGGGACGTCGGCGGTGCGAGGGAAGATGTGAGGACGAGGCTAGGGCTGTCGGTGAAGTGCCGCTGCATTGGCAGCGGACTGCCCGAGGCTACAAGCTCGATCGTGCGCGAGTACGGCGAGGCGCTGTGCGCAGAGATGTTCGACGCTCGCCTCATTGGTCCCAGGCTCGAGCCTGGTCGCTGCGGCGCGTGGAATCCGTGGCTGAGCGGAGAAGGCGACGGCGGAGCATAGTTGGGGTTCGGCAGCGAGCTTGACAGCACCGACACGCTCGCCGACGCTGGTGATCCACTGCGGTAGATGCCCTCGGTCGCGTACAGGCTGACCGGGCTGCGAACGATGGCGGACGGCATGTTGAGATACAGCAGCTGCGTGTTTTGTGCGTGCGGGAATGTCGGCGAAGGAAGTGGAATGTTGTGCACGGAGGGTGAGGACCTGCCACTGCCGCTGCTGTTGCTCCTACTACTACTGCTCGCCTGCTGCATGTCGACGAGCGCAGGTGAGTGGTCGCCCGCTGGACTCGCACTGACCGGTGCAATATCGGCAGGGTTGCAGGAGAGCGTGTCATAGACTGACAGAGAGCCGGAGCGCGACAGGTTCTGGTTGCTTGCATGCACTTGCCCTTGACCGATTCCAAACAAACCAAGGCCTGCGCGGCCCTTCTCTGCTGCCATCTCGCCATGCACGTCTACGTGCAGGTTGGTCAAGTGCTGACTGAACAGGCTCTCCGGGTCGCCGAGAATGCTCTGCCGGTTCGCATTATTCACTGGCACGTTTCTCCGAGCCCTGAGCGTGGCATCGTTCACCTCCCGTGAAAGGACCACCGTGCTGTTGCCGATATGGCCTGCAAGACACATTGAAGGCTTTTGCTGCTTTTGCTCCTGCTGCTGATCGAAGTCAAAGACAGAGGCAGGGGTACATGGCGAACCGGGTGAGCTCTCGGGTGAGCTGCCCGTCGAGATGGAAAGATGGGATGACAAGCTGCTCTGCGTGCCAAAGACTGAGGACGACTGTTCTCCGGTGGTGCGACGGAAGAGCGACGGACGCTGCGGTGTAGTGTACGAAGCTGCCCTTAGCGTCAACGCTTGCGCCGAGTCCACGGCACGGTCGAGCTCGTTTGCAAACTCTACAGCTTCGGAGTCGGCGATAAAGTCAGACAGGTCAAATACTTCATCGCGGCTCTTTCCAGAGACGAGTTCGGGCATGGTGGCAATGGTCGAAGTGGAGTCGGACACAGAGACATTGCTGTTGCTATAACGCTGGTAGTGTTGTGCGCCAGAGTAGTGTTCACGGTCGAGGTCCTCGGACCCGTCGACTTCAGATGTAGTTGTGGATGGTGCAGAGGACGCGATAGAGGATGCGAACGAGAGCCGTTGCAGGGCTCGCTTCCGGAGCGGCATGAGCATCGCTTCGGGTGTATGTGCACCGTCAGCGGCACCGGCGCCAGTATGCGAACGACCGCCGTGGCCAAAGACGTCTTGGTGCCGACGGTCCAGTTCTGCGGCAAAAGCATGCGCTGCGTCACCCATAGAGCTGTAACTTGAGATCGGCTGTCCCGTGATTGGGTCGGTCGTATTCGGTGTCGCTGCGCTCAGTCCGGGCGAACAGTTGGTCACCGTCAGCTCGTACAGCGGCGAGATGCCCGTCGGGTGCTGAAAGGAAAACGTCTCAAAGTAAGAGTCTTCCATGGTGTGCTGTGTCGTGAATATATCGTAGGCGAAGTTAGACCTTTTGTAGGGTGAGAAAGGGTCGTCGCGCTGATACAGTGTCGTGATTCAGTCGTGGATACCGTCGTGTCGTAAACGCTTCGTTGGATGGTATTCGTTGCTGGTTCGTGCTGTGCAAGAAGGTCGTCACTGCGAGAGGCGACAAAGACGAAGGTATCAGCTACGACCTTTTGATCATGGTGGTAGAGAGGAAGGTAACAATGCAGCCATATGAAAGGCTATCGTCGTGGCCATCAGCCATAAGACTCGAGCACCATAAGCAGGATTGGGTCTCCAAGCAGGTCTGTTACTTCGCTCCACCAGATTGGAGTGGTAAGCATCTCACATCCTTCTAGAACACCGCTGACACGCTGACAGTTAACCGCCGTCTGTCAGTAGCAAGAGCCAGGTCAAGCATGTATCGCGACAGACTGGCTGCACGCCTGCACGCCTCGTCCTCACCGCAGATACAGGCACATCCAGGACCGTTATCACCTGTCCTCGGCGTAGCATAGCCCGGCGGCCAAAGCCCAAGTACAACAGCTGGCGCTTAAACGGGAAGTTACCGAGCTGTTGGAGGCGTCCAGGACTGGAGACGGCTGCGCCTGGTATGCGGAGCGGCGCAAGGCCTGCAAGACCAAGCCACGGCAAGCACCCCGCAATCCGTCACATGCTCTCCACCCATTGATTGACAGATGTGATGAACGATCCCCGATGCCTGCCTGTAGCTGTAGCGCTTGGAGGCCCCATTGCCAGAAGGATGTGGCCCTCTGTGCACGTATCTCTTGGCAGGCAGGTGGTGCTATACTGTGCTGTGCTGTGGCGCACGCGGAACAACAGCTTGGGCCATCGGATAGAGCGGGTGACTGCGATGGCATTTTACGACCAACGGCCTCCGCATTCTCTCTGCATCGAGCTCGGGCCAAGTTTGCTCAATTGCGACCCTGGTCCTCCATCTCCATGGTCCAAACTCCCAACGATCTGACATTCTGACTATCGCATCGACGATGAAGAGGATGGAGCACCAAAAGTGGATCGCGCGCCACGCCTACGTATGGGGGTATGGATGCGCCAAAGCACGCACCCACGCATCCACCTGTGGTCTGCTACGAGACACCGCGCGCCGCTAGCAGCGGTTGGCCATCGAAGCCTCTGTCACACCGTCGCCAGGTGCCCACCCACGCTTACAAGCTCAAGGCCGTGAACGTGGTGACAAGCAAATTGGCGGTCTATTGAGCGTGCAATAGGCGCGCGTAGGCAGGCCGGGCTATGCTAAGCGCAACGGTCGAGGATCGAGCGATTGCGCTTGCTGCTGCTGCGCCGCCCGCCCGCCCGCCCGCGCCTGGTTTTTTCCCCGTCCGCCGTGCCGCCCACAGCAGGATCCTCGGGCACGGAATGCTGCTGCCACTCAGAGATAGTACTCACCAAGTTCGTCATAAGGGTCAAGGAAGAAGCGGGGATTCGCCTCTCGCAGGCTTCCTGCGAGGAGGGGATGGAAATGATGGCGAGGATGAGGATGGTAGGAGAGACGAGGTAGAAGGACAATTGGAAAAAGACCAGAAAAGTGGAAATGCTGCAGGAGGCGACTCGCTAGTGGGACTTATGAGGCAAAGACGAGCAAATCCAACTCAAAACGCAGATATATGCAGAGAATATCCCTGGGGGCTTACAGACGGCGCTCCAGCTATGTCAGTGCGGGCCAGGTGACCACATTCTGTGGGTGCTGTTGCACAGCTTGCCTGGTCCCGTCAGCCGGCTCTCTGAAAAAGTCAGCTAATATGGAGAATACCCGGGTGCAGGCTGGGCACAAGAGGTCCCCACACAGGCCCAGCGCTGCACTCCACAAGAGACGGACGGACCGTGCACACCAACAAAGCAGACCACAGCCCCCCCCCAGACGACAGACGCAGTGGGAAAGAGGTGGCGAACGGGCAAGGGACCCTTTTGCTAACTTCTGGGGTCTCTTGCACTGCGGTCACCCGAGGCAGCCACAGTCCGAATACGACAGAGAATTGGAGCAAACAGTCTGAGGCCGAGCCTGCTCGCGGATCTCCGCCGTATCAATGAACTTTAGCATGCTCTCCTCGATCTCATCAGTGGTACTGCACGCGAGTCTCATTGCAGCTATATATATATATGTATCGTATGCACGTTCGGAAAGCATGAGGGAATGTGCAGCACTTGCAATGCTTGTCGGTCTAACAGGACAGGTCGGGAGCGCAACGCTCACGCTCAAAAGTCGAAAACTCAAAGCGATCCGGGACTGGTGGTGGACATGGTCGGGAACTCTTCCTGAGATTGGGTCAGGAGCACAGTCAAACTGTGGGATGTGGCGTGCGGCTGGGCACAAATGTGAGCATCAAGACAAAATACCGCCAGAAGGCTAAGATGAAGCGATCAGAGTCCAGGCGTGCAAAACAGAGATGTACCGCAGCAAAGCCTCAATGATGGAGGCACCCTGCGATCCTCTCAAGTTTTGGTCAAGACTTGAGGAATCTCTCATGGGGGAAGGTGAATTTTCCAACTTGAATCTCAATCGAGATAATACCGATGTGAGCCACACAGTGCTCAAGACGTGATACGCATCAACCCTTGATGGGCACGACTCTCGTAGTTTGTGCATATCTCATACACGGTAGCTCTCGAGTGTCGCCGTGTCAACCATTTATCTCGGCATTGATTTGCTCTTCTGAGCCCTGAGCGACTTCATTTCTTGCACCCGCTGGGAACCGCGCGGGGCGCGAGCATTCACACCTTCGTGCAAAGCATTATTTCGTCAAACTGCGATGAGCAGAGCAGGTCGAGAGAAGGTGTGAAAACGGGGCCTTCATCACTGCTTGTGCTTGTCGGTACCTCTCCAACGTCTATGGGTTTCCTAGAATGGGTGACGATTACACCGCCATTATGTAGCCTGGCTGCTGGTAACGCCGTGGAAGACACAACTCGCTCTCTCTCTCTCACCTTCACCGAGCGAGAAATTGACCAGGGCTGCAGAACCTCCTGCCCGTGTATTCTTCGATCCTGGGCAACGCGACCCCGCGACAACAATGTGCGCATAACCCTGCAAAGTACAAAAGCCCATGTGAGCCCTATTACTCTGTGAGGACTTATGAAGCTGGAGAGGCAAAGGCACAAAAGGGAGCGGCGAACACGCGAAAGTACTGGTGCTAAAGTGCTCCCGGAGGAAGAATGCATCCCGACGATATTTTGCTGCCATAGCCCGTAAGGCCAGCCTCCCAGCATTACCAGTCACGCTGGCCGGCTGGCTCGAGCTAGTTTTTTCATCGAGGCACTGGCAGCCCAGTGGTATATTATAATATTGTTTCAAGGATATGGCTCTTCTTCGTTCGGTTGGATGTGCTCAGGATTTACTCTGCACTCGCGCTCTACACAGCATTGAGTCGTCGACCATGTAAGGCTTAAGGCCGAGTTAGGTCTGTAAAGCCGATGCGTAGTGGACAGTGCAATCAGACCAACAAGCCTTTCCGCAGAGCACACCACACATATCTACCAAGCGGACGTTCTTCAGCGCTCCGACTGCCGAGCATGGCGTATGCCTTGACCGAATTCTGCAGAAGCCTTGAAATGTGTAGGTATGTATATGCCGACATCTGCAGACATACCAAAGTTTAGTGGGTCGCCGGTAGGCAAGGGCATAGACCTCTTAAAGAGAGCAGCAGACTGGCAGTGGATGAGGTGGCAAGTCCTAGTGTGGGCGGATCGATGATACACAGTGCATGATGCAACGTGTGCCTGCTGTCACTTCAATCTCGACATCCTTCCTTGTGAGCCACCTCACTGTACTGTATGTGCATCTCGTAGATTCCATCATGGCCACAGCGGGATAACAACGTGCATGTGAGTGATCGCAAGTGCGGTTGATTGCCTGGTACTTCCCAGACACGTGGCGAGCAGCGACTCGATGTGCACTGTACAAGATTTGCAGGATAGATAAGAGGTGGATGAGCGTCGTGGTCTGCACATAGGTACCGTAGTAACGCACTGATACCCGTGCCCAGAGCCGCGAGGTGGAGTTGCCAGGTACACTGATGGCATGCGCTGCAGGTATGCTGCTGCCAGTGCAAGTACCTGAAAGGCCCGGCGGCTAGCGATCGCGTGCCTTGGAAGAACAGGGACAGAAGGATGCAGCAAGGAAAACAAGGACAGGGTTGAACGGAGGTTGCAAAAGTGACAGATAATTTCTATCGACGAATGCCAAAAGAGAAGAAAGAAAAGTTGTACGGTGCGTGCGCAGCGCAAGAAACAACCATCAAAGAGGCGTAGCGCCGTCCCATCTGCAACGTAGAGGCGCACATGCGTTAACGTCAGCGATATATAAGATCCCTGGTCTGTAGGACGCGAAAAGGGAGAGGCAAGGAGGCACTCACCGAACGAGCTCATCGTAGCGCTCTATCACCTCGTCGATCTCCCAGCGCCCGCCAGGCCCGCCAGAGCCGTACTTCATGGAGAGGAGCGTGCCGACCTCTTCGCAGGCGCGGAGAACGTCATCGATGTCCTTTTTGGTGTGTGCGGCGCTGACGCAGAAGCGCACACGCGATGACAAGATCGGCGTCGCGGGGAACGCGACGACGACAACTGCGATCGGTGGGCGCGACAGGACGCTCCTACTCGCCGTCGACGCAGGGTCGTTTATCTCGTCCATGCGCCTCTTCTCATCGTCGGTCATCGCGTGCTCCTGGATGATGTGCGCGCGCCGCTGCGTCGGGGATAGAGTACGGGTGCGCTCGAGCATCATGCGCGAGAACATGCTCATCTTCGCCGGCAAGTAGATCAGCAGCGGCACGATCGGGCTGTCCCGACTACCCCAAACGAGGAAGCCGAGCTTGCGCAGACCGGAAGAGAGGTAGCGCGCGTTGAACGCGAGCCGCCGCAGACGCTCCTGGCCTTCGGACCCGTCGAGCATTCGCGGCGGCAGCTGCATCCAGCTCGGCAGCAGCGCGTGCTCACTCGGGTTGCGGCCGACGCCCATGATGCTCGCCATACTCGCCATGATCTGCGTCAGCACGGGTGGGCTGAGAGTCTCGCCGTAGACGTTTGCGTGGTTCATCAGACGCACGCGGTCGATCGTCGCCTTGTCGCCCGCAATGTAGCCGCCTGCAGCGCCGAACGACTTGGTGAGAGTACCCATCAGAATGTTGACCGAGCGTGGGTTAACGCCAAAGTAGTCACACACGCCACGCCCGTTCGGCCCGATCGCACCGATCGAATGTGCTTCATCTACGTAGAGATAAAACTAAAAAAAAAGGTCGCGTCAGTGAGTTGCACACTTGTACGCCTGCAAAGCAATGCTGTCGAGAGAGAAGAAAACACACCTTGTATTTCTCCTTCAAGCGCAAGAGCTCGGGCAAGTTGACCAGCGTACCCTCCATTGAGTAGAGACCCTCGACGATGAGCACGATCTTCTTCCACGGGCGGTGCGTGCGGGGCATTCCCTGGCTAATGCACTCGCGCAGGAGGGCCTCGAGCTTGCGCATGTCGTTGTGCTTGTACTGGCGGATGTGTGCGCCAGAGAGACGGGAGCCGAAGCGGATGCTTGAGTGGTTGTACTCATCCGAGATGATCAGCGTACCCGGGCCGGTGATGGCTGGAATGGTGGTCGAGTTCGTCGCGAAGCCCATGCTGACTATGACAGCATCTTCGTGCCCGACGAAGCGCGCGACAAGTTTCTCAGTCTGCTGCTGCAGGTCCAAGTGGCCAGCGCCAAGGCGGCTGCCGAAGCTGCTGACGCCGTAAATGCGCAAGCACTCTTTGACCGCGTCCGAGCAGCCCCCGTGCGATTGGGCAAAGCCGAGGTAGTTGTACGCGCTCACGTTGAGCGCGCGTGTCTGCTTTCCCGTGAAGGAGAAGCTATCGTGGTAGTCGGCGGAGACTCGGTCGAGCAGCAAGACGGTTCGACCGCAGACGCCCGTCACAGGCCGAGAGAAGCAGTCGTCCATCCTCTTCTTCAATCGTCGAGTGTAGAACGAGTCGAAGTCCGAATTGAGGGGTGCGTAGCCGTTGGACTCCATCAGGTGGATGTACGACTGAGGGAGGAACTTGCGGCCGATGAAATCGCGCATGTGGCCAAAGCAGATGAGAACCAGGTATGAGAGGTAGGTCATCAGGACTATCACGTAAGATGGCTCCTCTTCGTGGGGCTGTGGCAGGGACGTGCCTGAGTGATGCTGTGAGACATAGCGGTAGCGCTGGTCAGCACAGAAGCCAAACTCAGAATGCAGCAGAGCAGTTCCATCGGCGCTGCTGTCGTGAGAAGACGAAGGGGTTATGTTCATCGATGCGGCGGCAGCGACAAGGCTCTTGTCCTTGAGCATGGCCTCATGACCCCCGAATCTGCCTTGCTGCATCGCTGCGACCGCTGCGGCAGCCTTGGCATTGTGCGCTTCCTGAACGCTCTCCAGCGACTCGATTGAAGGCGAGGTGGAGCCGGTCGTCAGGCTCGGTGGCTGACTCTCATTCTCTGGTGAAGACTCGCCGCTACCATTTCCCCACGACTCGTGCTCATCCGAAGCAACAGCTACCATGCTGGGCTGGTTTGGTACCTGCTGAATGCTGCTACTGTACTTGCTGTCGGGCGTCGAGATGGATATGGTAGGGACAGAGCGGCTAAGCAGTGACGGCGGCGTGTCCGGTGTGCCAGCCTTCTCGGCATGCGTCTGGCCTGCCGGAACCTTGGTCGGCGTCGTGGGCGTGCTGGAGCCTGACGGGGAGGACTTGCCGCTCGACCCGAGCAGGGAAGAGCGCGGCGATTTGCGTGACCCGAAGAGCGATGGCATCGGGGACAGCTAGCCGCAAGTGCGAGCGCGAGCGCGCTGGCAGTCCTTCGACGCGATGAGGCGACGAGCGAGACGAGCCAGGAGTCGAAGGCGCGGAGGTGGTTTCGCAGCCCGAAGATGTACACACACTTATCGAGCAGCACGACGCGATTGAGCACGAGTAGCTTGCGTGTGTGGCAATGATGGAAATGCCTTCTCGATAGTCTTATGAAAAAGTGCGGCCGGCTGGAGCCTGGATGAGCGAGAGATGGACTCTCGCTCTCCTCGCGCGGAGCGGCCGTTCGGTATCGAGCGGTCGCGAGCAATGCGCCGCTCTGCCACTCATTCGGAATATTCTACTGTTTTTTATGGTGACACAGTGAGTGGGCATGCCCTTTCTTTCTTTCCCTCGCCTCATCTTTCTTTTTGCCAAGGCTGGTCCCCCGCCCCCACAAGAGCCCAATCCAAAAGAACTGACCGCCAATTCTGCAGACCCTCCCGTGTGCGCGAGTATGTACTTGGGTACCTGCCCGGGACACCACAGCATAGAAACATGATTGCACGAGCAGGAAGGGCAAGTTCTCGCTTTCTCTACATGACATCACCTTTCCAACAAGATGAGGGAGGGAGGTTGGATGCATCTTCCAGAGCATGTTCGGTTCAACGAACCCGGCTTCGTTCCCCGCAAATATAAGCAAGTTCGGATTAATGGGCGAATCCCGGAACGAAAATAAGCCAAAAACACGTCCAACCTGGATCCAGATTCAATTCGCGGAATTGAAGTGGCGACAGATTCCATTTTCGGGAACGCGGATCCACTTCCAATTTTGACTTGCAAAAAGTTACAATTCGTGGGAAATCGAAAGTGAAACCCTGGGACTCGGGACTCGATTAGCACATCTCATCGTTTTCACCTCCTCATTGCTCTTCTCCCCCTCGGCCTATACAACGGAAAAGACCCGCAGCTTTTCGAAAACTAAGCCAGATCCCAAAACGAGGAAATTGAATGCAGGATTCCTGTTTGGTAGCATCTTTCTTTTTATTGAACACAGATTCGGATACACGTTTCACCTGAATTCAAGATGGAGGACGGATTCTGGCTGAACTTCTACCGAACACCCTTTCAACTTCTCCATCTTTTGCGATCAGCGCTTTTGCACTTTTCGAATGCGCACGCCACTAAGCCCGACGACACTGGTGTGGTGGCTGACCCAGGAGGGGAGGAAAGAAAGAAAGAAATGAGGTGAGGTGAGCTCGTTCCGCCCGGCGCTAGCGACCGGAAGCTTTGTTCCGGGCGGGACTCATCTCCAGAGATGCAGGAGATACGCGATGAGCGGCTAGAGTGACTGTAATTATAGGTATTGCGGCCTGATTCATCGTCATCTGTGTCCGCCTCACGGCGTCAGCCTCCCTGCTCCTCGCTCTTCCAGCCTCGCGAGTATAGTGTGAGTGTGCTTCATCACAACCCCTCATCTGGATCCTAACAGGGCGCCTGGATGACTGCACAGGGCGTGCGTCGGTAGCTGTTATACCAGCTACCTTTGGACGAAGCGGCACGGTTTGGTGGGGTCCCAACGTCCAAGGTGCAGGATGCACACTTCTTGGGTGGCCCAGCCCGCCTGCCAAGCAGAACCCACCGAGTTGCTGTGAGGTTGGAAAGACAGACACGAATGCCTGGTCTTCTTTGGCAATGACGACAACAGTGCGTAGTGTATCGGTCATCCTGCAGGGTGCATAAGAAGTCAGTATACACAGGCCAACCTGTCCTTCCTGTTCATCTTTCACAGTTACAGAAAGTCAGCATAACCAAACCGCATTTCGCAGCGTCATGTATGCGATCATGCATTGGACTCTGATGGTTGCTCTACCGCTTCGATCACAGATACACTGAAAAGGTATCACGCGCTTCCACTTGCTCGAACTCCACCTGTCACACCATCGTTTTGGACAGATGTCGAATCAACCTGCTGCGCAGCGTTCTGAAGACGCAGCAGGACCTCTCATCCTGTCGTGGACTTTGTAAATATTATGAAGCAATGTGCAAGCGTGTGCATCAAACATCACAAATGAAAATCAAGAGTCCAGCTCTTGCTAAAGCAGGCCCGCACACATCACCGTCGCCCATGCCTGCTCGCGCTGTACACAATCGAGGCAGCAAGCGCACACACGAACAAGCACACATGGCACATTTGATGCTGAAGCCTAATCGCGATTGCATGGAGAAAGTGTGATTGTATTGTACAGTCGCGGGAGGCAGAGACCGTTCGTCGGCAGACCCACAGCCGCAAGCCGGCTTGTGCATCCGACCGATGCCATGCACTCGCCGCCGCCGCACGACAGCTTCGCAGGCGCTACAGAGGCACGCCCATCACTCGATATGCCTCTGCAGGTGGGCCATCCCTGCCAAGGCAACGCCAAAAGGAAGAGGGTTCCATTTCGCGTTTGATTTTGTTGCATCCTGCCCAAGGACATATTCACCGCTTGACCAGTGCTGCACCACTACCACGACATTTAAGGAGCGTGGAGCAACTCGAGGAACTGCTTGGAGGCAACGTTCCTCTGGCTCTTAGTGTCCTTCTTGAGCTTGCCAGCAGCCCTCTGCTTCTGCTGCCTGACCTCCATCCGCCGGTGAGCCTGGGCGTACGGGTTGAGCCTGTTCATGATCGCCCGGTTGCGCAGCGGGTTCTTCTTCTGGGTGAACGGCCTCTTGGTCTTGTTCGGGCCGGCGGCGCGCACTACAGACTGGATCTCGTCCGAGTTGATGATACGCGTGACGTCGACGTTGCTAATCTTGGCAGTGGGGAGCGTGAAGCCCTTCTTGCCCTCAGAAGGCTTGTCGTGAGTGCCAAAGATGCTGTCAAGCTGCTTGAACGCATCCTCGGTCCAGATGCAGAAGCGACCAATGTGGCCACCAGGGGCAAGCTGGAGCAGGTTAAGGCGGTGAACAGAGGCGAGCTCGACACCGGGAATGTTGCGGAAAGCCTTGACGATGCCCTTGTCCTCGTTGTAGATCACAAGGGGACCACGGCGCTGGGTGTGGCGACGGTTGCGGATCTTGCCAACGCCAGCCCGAATCTTGCGCGAGTTGGACACCTTGATGACATCAGTGTAGGCGTTGAGGCCCTTGAGCAGGGTGACGGCCTCCTTCGTCTTGGTGAATGACTCGGCCTCGGAAGGGATGACGAGTGGGACCTCAGCGATCTCCTCGATGCGGTGACCACGCGCAAGGACCAGCGATGGCACTGCGGTCGCTGCGAGAGCAGACGCCGTAGCGTAACGCTTCTGGTTGCGGTTGGTCTTGACAAACCAGCGCCTCCAGAGTTTGGTCGGTGCAAACATGTGACCTCCACGGACCATGTTACCGAATGCAGCCTGCAGGGAAGGAAGATGTCAACTTGGACTGAAACAGGTGAGCACGTTCGCAATCCCACTCACCTGTCCGGAACGGTGTGTACCACCACCGCCAACACGTGGGATACGTGCAACGGCACGACCGGTACCCCACGACTCGGCACTGGTCTGGTGGCCGGCATTGGTTGCAACGGCGTATGGCTGCCTCTTGTTCTTGGCCATGTTCTTGACGGTCAGATGGACAATGTCCGGGCGGATGGGTGCCGTAAGGACAGCAGGCAGAGGGAGCGAAGCTCCGCCGGCGCTGCCGTCGGCACCGCGTACAGTGACGGTCGCACGGGATGCCATTGTCGCAAATCTGCAGGAGAAAAGTCGTCAACTGGTGCTTCATCAGGGAAAAGTTGCGTTGAGGACAAGCTGCTCTTCTTTCCGTCAAGCCTGCCAATCCACTAATCTCCTGCACCAATCACCCTGAACGACGACGTCGTAGTCCCAAACTCGTGTGTGAGCTAGAGTTTCACTGCCTTGCAAATTGCCATCCAGCGCGGATGATTACTGGGCAAGAGTGACTGGCGCCTTCCGGCAACATATTACTGCCACTCTCACGCACAGCTCCTTTGCCGCGCCGGCGTGCTCGTGGTACTGCCATTGCAGCAAGTCCCGCCCACTGCTCATGTTTTCCTCTTCTTTATCTGCTTGCGACTGATCCTGCATGTCCAACCGTCATTGTTACTTCCAACTCAACTGCGCCGCTCACTGTTGCGGATCCTGTTGTGATTCTGATTCTACCCCTGCTGCCACTGCTTCTGCGGTTCCGGCTTCTTTCCAGCTGCCACTACTGCTGACGTCTTGGACGAGGTCGCACACGTACAATGTATACTCACTCTTGATCTTGCTGGCTTGAGGCGAGAACGGGGAGCACAGTGTATTATCACAAGAAGGAAGGATCAATAAGTTGCAGGTTGCAAGGTGCGAGGCGGCACCGACTGCAGGCCCAGTTCGAGGGGCGGGCGGGCGCGGTGGATGTGTGCTATGGTGGGGAGTCGCGCCGAGCTGAGAGCCTGGGCTGAATAATTCCCGCAGCTGAACACTTTCCGCTGCATGTTTGGGTGGCTTCTACGGATGTCCAGACCAACAAACTGCCTGACACTATTTGGCAGACTTCATGATCAACTACTGCGCTCGTAGGGATGGTTAGGCAATTGCTGGGAGATGTGTAAGCCCACATTCCGCAAGACTTATACGACCGCACTCATCAATGCAAGGGGTGACATGATGGAATTGACCTTCTGCTGCAAAGAAAAAACGCAGTGTATATTGCCAGGCGGTACACCATCTTTTGTTAGATAGCGACCCCGCTTGGAACGCTTTATGGCTTCTGCGACTCTGGAAGAGGGCGAGCTGAGCTGCAAGACAGGCAAAGGTGCCTAGGATGGGATGGGCTCTTTCGCTGCCTACTCGTATCTATGCCGCCGCTTCTTCCAATGGGACATTACAATGGCGAGGACATGTTCCGTTTTACCTGGGTTTCATTATTGCGTTTGGGATCACCTGTGTGCAGCACGCCGTATCATATCGTGAACTCCAGATTGCAGGTGGGATGGCACGGCACTTGCGGGTGGCCGTGCCGATGCAGGTGTACCATTCACTTGGCATGTCTGCAGTCCGTCCCGATCCTTGAAGTTGCTGCGCCGAAGGGGTGATGATGGGTCCGCTTCTGTCTGCACTTGCAACCGCTGATGAGGCAACAGCGGATCAGTCTGTACTCGCGGTAGATGCCGACATGTCGAGAATGGCTTGAGAGATTGATGGTACGGAAGACGATCGCTTCTGCTGCGCGCTCGTTCTTTATTACGAACCTGGACTATGGTCCCCGATGCATCCTTTTCTGACCAGCCTTTCGTATGCTATAAATGGTATTATACTACGACGAGCGGTTGCTTGAGGACGCGCAGCTGGCCAACAAGTCGCGTCGCAACTCTCATGGCGAGCGGTGCGCGTCCTCTCTCGTACATGTATGTGCGCCGCGTGGCACTACGAAGCAATGGCGGGACGCGGCAACGTTCAGCGGCACTTGCACGCTTCCAAAATGAACGAGCGAGCCTCTTTGAGTGCCATTTTGAGTACGCGCAGGCGCCCGGCGCATGCGTATGGGAACGAATAGAACATGGTGTAGAATACAATGTGTGATAGATAGTAGGTGCTGGTGGTAGTGTCCTTGCATGCTGCGTTGCTGCTTTTGTGTGTGGGGGGGGG